CCCCAAAACCCCAAAACCCCGAGATGCTTATTTAGAGAATTATATGAAAAATAAAAAAATCATTTATAATTAATAGTAATTATTTTATTATGAGATAGTTTAAATGTTCCATTTTAAATCAATAGTATTAGAGGTTTATTACTTATATAGCCATAGTCAAAACTATATTTATATTCTTAATCGGTAATTTAAAATATAGAAAATGTTCAGATTAATCAATCTATAGCTTAAAGTTGCGCTTCTAATATTTACATTCTTCAGGTAATTTCACTTAAGCCAATTATATTTCAGATTTTCATTGTGTACCACTTGTTTTGGTGACAAATAATTTCCATTAAAGTTTGGAGATGGAATTACTGGCGATTTCTCAATTGAATACATAGATCTGACTTTAGACTAAAAGATAATTACGTTTGCTGGCTATGGATATTCTAATAGTTCATTCACAAATATCCCAATTATAGGTGCTTACGCCAAGTATGATTAAATTAGCAAAGTTACTTGGCTTAAAACTCTCAAATCTTCGTAATAAGTTTCTAGAGTTTCTGCTATTGCTTTAAGCTATACTCAGGAATATTTACTTGTTACTGTAAGTAATATGTTCGGCTTGCTACTTTTGAATGTTCAAAATGGCTAAATGATATATTCAGGAATTGGCTAAACACAGACTTATGATGAAATACCAAATTACGGAGCATTAATGGATAAAAACGATGACATATTTGTAATTTACTAGACTTAAACGTAAAATAATGTAATAATTCAAAAATTCTCCTTTGATCTTAAACAAACTATTTGGAAGTAAGTACTGATTGAATCAGGTAAACCAAGTGCAATAAGGTACTGAGACTCAGACGAAAGAATATTTGCACTTGCAGATTATTATTCTAGTACTAGTTAGTTTAATGGAGGTTTTAGCTTGATAAAGATTGATACAACTACAGCAGAATCTACTATTTGGAATCTAGAGTTTACCAAAAGTGACTTTTACAATGCAAAGACATATGATCTTAGAGTAGAGGGTAAATACGCAGCAGGCTGCTTTTATTCTGAAAAATTAGCTGGATATATTGCTTTTAATGAAGATTCAAATGACTTTAATGTAAAATATCTTACAAACTCAGGGTTTCTTTGCCTAGGAATTCATCTTCTGCCAAATTCCTCTATTGCTTTTTTTTACCGTCTACAAAGTACAGGTGTTGATATTAGATACTGGATGACTTATGATCCATTTGGGGATAGTAATCTATAATTTTAGCTTTATTCCTTTAACTATGCTTCTCAATATGGGATTAATAGCAAGTTTTAATATTTTAAATCAGTTGATTGGATGCATTTCTATTTCATTGGAAATGATGGGGGATAAAAAACAAAAGGCTTTATCGAATCTAATTTTCCTTCGCAGTCTTGCAGAGAACCCCCAAAATTAAGAGACCAAAGTTCTAGAAATAAAATTGATGCTGGATTAATGATAAAAATTCTCTAAAAAATTGGTGTTAGTAATGGATTTACCAATTAAAATATATCAATCTAAACTGTCGATACCACAAAAACTATATTAACATCCAATGAAAACTGTGAGCAGCCAGTTCTCGTGACTATTTAAAACCCTATAGTTTATAATCCTTCATTTATCTGCTAAGTGAATCAACCTTGTAATATAGAAATAGGATAGTATTATTTACCTTAGAATTGCACTGATGCTCCTTAATTAGTGTATACATTATTAGATAGCTAAAATTAAAGTTTTCCTCTTATATATCAGTAGTTGATGGTTGATGATTTTGTAAATATAACATTCAACCCAAGTTATCAATAAATTGGAATTAGAAAGTATTAAATTACTGCTCAAATGTTGTTAAATGGCTAAGTTTATATCGAAAATACTGATGTCAATTTTAATGTCACTGTTCAAGATATATGTTAATCAAGCTTTAATTTCCTTAATATTCCAAATTTATAAGATTATTACTACTTAGTTGGAAGTTCACCAATTTTAATTGATTTCAAATCAATATCCTGGGAACCTGCTCACTGTTCTGATGAAATTATTTTCACAAGCAATCTTCCGGAGTTTATTACTTTAAATAGCTGAATTTGATAATTATAGATTTACTCCACAGAAATAAAATATGTCGGGTCTTATAAGATTACAGTAACTGGTACATTATAAAACTTTTATCGAAATAAATTATACTTTGACTGGAATTTATATGTTTAAGATCCTAAATTTGTGATAACTAATAACACTCCCCCTTACTTCTAAACACCACTTAAAGTCTAGAAATTAACTTGCAACTTATAGCACACTTATTTGTTACCAAACGCCTAAGATTTAGAATAGGACAATATCTAGTTATTTTTTGATTTAGGCCAAGCATCTATTTTTACAGTTTATGAGAATAAGAAATTTACATTTTATCCGATCTGCACATAAGGTTGGATAGAGACCTAAATAAAAATCACATTGCAAGATAATAATAAATACTCTAAATCTTCTTCTCACTATCTCCATATAATCTTATAAAATAATAGCAAAATTCTTTCTGATATTTGCACTAATGATAGAGTTATTCAAGCTAAAATATCGCTTGTAACTAATAATGGAATGATATATATTAAATTCAATAAAGATATCCAGAATGATACTAACACACAGGATTAAATTACAAATAAACTCAAATTCTATGTAATAAAAGCATATGGGTAAGGAATTGAAAATATTTAATCATTCAAGATATAATCCATGAATAATCAAATTCTAAGGCTTAAGCTTTCATATCAGAATCCTGAGCAAATTTCTAACTTTGGTGTAAATCTTTTTTTCTAGAAAATCATTTTTATAGGAATAGGATTAAATCTCCATGATTATTAAAAATACCTCATAAGCGATGGCTGTAAATGATATATTATGCATTTAAAACTCAAATTTCTCACTGAAAAAAATTCCACCTTAAATATTAGATTCTGGTATATCAAGAATCACTTAACTAGGATTCGAAATCAAGGCTACTTTTTCGACTTTAATTTGTTCAAACATTTTCCTTACATTTCTATTGTAAATATTTTAAAAATTTAATTCAGATATTTAGTGGAATTTCTTGCTAATAAATTTGGGACCTAATAAATAATTTTCAAATCATTACTCATTTACCATTAATGGCTATTCAACTATCAGGAAATGCAGTTTATTTTTATAGATTGATCTATGACTTAGCAAACTTTAACTTCATTCCAGTTAATAAATTGCAAAAAATTATGTTTCATAATTAGGAATTTTTGAAGGACGATCCAGATGATGATTCAGATGATTATTACCCAATAAACATGTTTTTTCATTAAATGGGATACCAAAGCAAAAATTTCATAATAAACACAGGATTATTATTCTTTATAGGACTTCTGGTAAGCCTTACGTTTATGAACTTTTCATTACTTTCTTTATTAAAACTGAAAAATGATAAGTAATTGAATTTATATTTATTTTCTGCTATAGGCTATAAAAATTTCAGTAGCATCTAAAAAACCTAATAATTTACAATTCTGTACTAAGATTTATCGAACAAAGCTGCTTAGAATTTGGCATTTGTGCTCTTATAAATATTAAAGAAGTAACCATATAAATTTTTAGTAAAATTTAATTTCTTGATAATAGAATAAAAAGGTAGTTAATTAAATGGATCGAGCAGGATTTCTGATATCTTGGATTGTGATTTCGATAGTCCAAATCTATCCGTTTCTAATACTAGCTATCCTATAGTATAAATTTAAAAACCTTTAAGCAGAAAATTAAAAGAACAGAATTGGATCATTGTACGAAACCCTAAACTTGAAATCGAGATGGGTATTACTAAATATCCCTCTATAGATAATTAGACGAAATCTACTCACGATCATCTTCATTTACTTAGATGAGATTCAATTAGTTTAGAGCTTTTGCGCAATTATTTCTTCATTATTAATGATGATTTTCTATTTGAGAGTGAAGCCATTTGAAAGCTATGCCTAGTCAATGATTGAGCTTTTCAATGAAGGATGTATTTTATTATAGTGTTATTATATGCTTTTGAATACAGACAATGATTTGGTTAACTCAGCCCAAAGACTAAATCTTGGATGGTTTTCAATTGGTCTAACTTCTCTCTATCTAATTACCAATACTATGATTGTTATTGTATAGATAATATGTCAAATATCAACAAAGTTAAGGTAAATTTGCAAGGTGATAAAGTAGTTTCAGTAATAGAAAGTATAAATTAATTAAAAATAATTTGAATTTGTAAAATAGTCAAAAGTATAACTTTATCCAGGAATTGGAGAAAAGTTATTTGGAGAACTAAACTACAGTTAATATAGAACAATTGATAGATAAAACGAAAAATCTAATAAAAAAACATTGCAAAAAAATCATGAAATTAATTCTAGTAAATTAATATTGAAAGAAGATTTTTTGAAAGAGACTTATTAAGATTTTAGCTCAATTTCATAATTGAATGAATCTCAAAATAATATAATTACAACTCCAATAGAGAGTCTACAAAGATTAGAGTTAGGCTATTCCTTTAATTAATAAATAGATAATATTAAGAAGAAAAGTAAAAAGGAAATACCTTAAGGTTAGAAATTTAAACCATAAACTTAATACTTAGATTAATAATAAACTTAAAATTAATCAAGCAAGTTCGAAAATCATTCGAGTTCCACCCAATTTTAGGTGCTAGCAAGTTTATATCTATCGTATAGCTTTAAATGAAAAATCTTCATAAAACAATACAATGATATTGAAGGAATTTATAATTTTGCAAAAGAGATTATTTATAAAGCTAAAATATAGAGCAAGCAGTTATTATAAATTATAAAATGGCACTCTTGTAATTATATTTTTTCATTAAGATTATTATTTTGTATTTTAAAGCATACTTAGTTTAACGGGGTTTTGGGGTTTTGGGG